GTCCCAAACACGGGCGCTTTCCCTGCAGAAATGTGGGTTGTTCTCTTGCTGCAGCTTTCCCGATCTGTCCTATGTGCGATGGCATGAGGGAGCTGGACAGAATTAAAACCAGCCTAAGGCCATCGGTCCCCCTGGCAGCACAGTCCCATGGCTCGTCTCTGCAGGGATGCTGTAGCTGGCAGCACCACGACGCTTATTTTGGACCGGTGACGGCAGCACCGCTGTCCCCTCAGGAGCTGTGGGCGCCTTAGGGCTGCAAAGCTACCATACAGCACGCACGGTTTTTTCCCTTAATGCCTAAATTGGATTTAAGGGCATTTTTGTATGTTCCAAAACAAATCAGCAGGTGTCTGCAAAGCAGGCAGTCAGACTTGGTCCTGAGAAAAGATCGATGTGCTCACGCTTCGCACCCAGAGCTCTGCTTTCTCGGGATCCCGTCTTATGCACCAGCCTAAGCGCAAGAAAAGCCTTTCAACATCTGAGCAGTCAAGAATTTAGTCTCTTCTAGTCCAAGGAACATCTGAGGGCTCGTGTCATCACCATCAGTTGCTGGAGAGCCTCACTGGAGCCATTCCAATGCCCACAGCCGTGGCAGGCACCACTTGGTGTGGTGCTCAGGGAAGGAGGCGTTGGGCTCGGAACTCAGTGGCTGCGTGTCCCAGAGTCCATGGGAACCCTGCCTGGAGTCTAGAGAAGATAAAATGGCAGGTAGGTTCCGCAAGAGCATTTCTGCGGTAGACCACTTTTCCCTCCTGGAAATGCTTCCTTCCCGTAGCACTCTCAGGTTAATCTGCTGCAATAGCATCCAGACCTGGGATCCAGTTCTGGGGGGAAAGTCCTACATCCTTTTTTTCTTTAAAAAAAGCTATATATTATATATATATATTTTTTTAACTGCTTGGAGCAAAGTTGTCTCAGCATTCTCATTTTGAAACCCCCATATTGAGGTGTTTATTACAGCACTGTGAAAATTCACATTTAGTTGAAACTTGGCAAATGTTTTTTGGCTTGAAGCAAGTTTTCTTTTGAAGGAGTTTACTATTAAGTGTTTAAGGGTGGGTTTTTTTTTCCCTTTCTCTCTATTTTTCTTTTCACAAAGCAACACCTTCCAGAACAGGGTTCAGAAGCAGCAGGGCAGCTCTGCAGCAAGTGTGAAAGCTGCGAGTCGAGAGCAGAGCTGCAGTCATTCATGCTTTTTTCTGACATCTGTTAAGGGAAAGGGAGGAAGGGAATTCAGCTGTACTCTACGAGAAAAGAGGCTTTTTTGTTGTTGTTTTGGTGAGTCCTGAGTAGCTGCGCTCCCACCAGATGCTGGTGATCCTCATGCCAGCTGCACAGAGCGCAGTATCTCTGATTGCCTGGAGCTGGTCCCTTCCCACACCCCAGAGCAAGCCAGATTTGCTGTACCTGTAAGAAAAATGAGAGTGCGGCAGGCTTGTTGCTATTCTATGATTCAGATGTATATTGAACGACGACATCCCTGGCAGGGCCTGGGATCATGTTGTTACAGTTCCGCTGGAGTAAACGGAGTTACTGCTGATCTGGTTTGTGCTACAGCCTCAATATCGATGACACAGTCTATACTTTGCTTTATACTCACATGTTTTTCTTCTTTTTCAGGTGTGCAGGCCCATCTTTTTCAATGTGAGGACATGTGGGTAGATAACGGGGTTGATACAACCTGTGCTGGCAAGCTGCACGTCCTGCAGAGCCAGGAGCAGGAGTCACCTACGCGGTCCTGCCTTGCTTCATCCCTGCCCTGCGTGGAGGACTCGCTACGAGGTGGCTGCCAGTGTGTGCACAGAGCTCTTGCGGGGATGCTCTTCCACATCCCGTATTTCTGCGTGCCAGGGCAGGTGTGTAAGGAGCAGCCCAGGAACTGGTGTCTGGCACCGGTGGGAAATGGCTGTTGTCTACCAGCATTGGGTCCCTGGCTGCTCAGGGGAGCCCAGCGGTGCAGCCAACCTCCTCTGCCCTTTTTCAGCCTGCAAGCTGTGAGATGGGTGAGGATGAGGATGGACGGAGCAGACAGACAGCTCTCAGGCACAGTGTCAGTAGGGCCAGCCTTAATGGCCTTGTGTCTCCATATGGAGGTGGGCAAACCCTGCTGCCTGAGATGGTTCTTAACCCTGAACCCAAATGGGATGTCTTCTGACTTTCAGAAATATTACAGACAGGGTTGTGAGTGGTTTGTTTTGTTTTGTTTTTTTTTTCCCCTGCACTTCCAGTTTCTAGCAGCAGCCAGAAGTGGAAGTACCAAAGTCTCAAGAGGGAGCCTGCTTTCTCTGGCTCCACCTTGCAAACCCAGGAAGTTTGAAGAGGTCTGAAAATCGCCCTTACCCTTGCTTATTCATCAGCTCAGTCTCCCCACGAGGAGGTTCCTGGGGCCCTACCTGAGATGGCTCTGCTCACACGACTACGCTGGCTGGCTGCCACAGCAGTGCTCACTGGCACAGGAAAAAAATAGCAGTGGTACTTTTGGTCCAGTCCTTCTGGAGCTTTTTCTATTTTTGCTCTCCTGTTGAAGTTGCCACAACAGAATTGTGCTTGTGCTGTGAAGATACCAACCTATTACCACCATTTTGTATCACAAATATGACAATTTCACTGCAATATTTAAGATACCTTGCTGGAACACCTGCGGTTGGACAAGCGTGAATCTGGCTTTATCTGTACTGGGACTTTTCAGCCCCTTCCACATCACATAATCTACTTAGGTGATTGAATTGCAGTGTTGACTTGTTCTTTTCCCTTGTCATGTTATCCTAATTTTTTTTTTTAGTATTTAATTAGATATTATTTTTTGACACTGTGCTCCCATGTATCATTGCTATGCAGATGTTACACAAATCTATTTACCAGTTTCCACTTGCTGTCTTTCATTAGCCTATTCAGCAACTTTGTGTCTTTCCTCGTCGCAGGCTTCAATGTTCTACAAACTGCATGAAGCTAGAAGATCAAGGTGCTTTTTCTTGGTTGCCAGCATCTAGCACAAAGGGGGAGGCAGATTTGGAGACGTTGCTTGTTTCTATGGATAATAATCAATAAGACCCATTAGGGAGACAACTACATACATCACTAAACTTTGACCTCTGCTCTCCAGAGCAGTCCCAAGATGCCAATTCACATGCTGGTGACATCCAATCTGCGCTATTGCAAAAGCCTCTTTGCTTGGGAAGGGATTACAGATTTAAATTGCACAGCCTTTGCTATCTGTAGAATACAGTGTGCAGGATGCTTAGCTAGAGCCTCTAGTTTTTGTTGGCTTTCTTTTCTACTCAGCAGAGTTTTGTATTTAATGCTGTTGCATGCAGAGTTTTTTATGCCCCTCTACCTTTTCAGGCTGTTTTCTGTTCCTGTCTGGCATTTTAAGGGTTTGCAGACCCTGGAGATTCTTGGCACTGGCTGTTGCTTGCACATTGCTCCTCATCTTTCAGATCCTTTTTCTACTAAGTTGTTCTTCAGCAGGCTGTTTCTGATAGAAAGTTTTTGGCTTGCTGTTTGAAGTTCCTGATAGTCGGCATTTGATCACTTGCTAATTCAGTCCTAAAACTATTTTCCAAAGAACCCATGAAAGACTATCTATAAATAGATTACATTAAAAAAAAAAAAGGAAAAGAAAACTTTAAAAATACCCTTATTTTGCTGAATAGAGGAAGTTTTAAGTTTTCTGGGAGGAAAAACACGCACACCAAATTTAGAAGCAAATTGGAAATCCCTGGGTGTTTGAGAAATCCATTTCTAGGCACGGAAGCTGGATGAAGAGTTTTCTTCTCCCTGTACCTCTCCCCTTCCCTTGTGAGACCATCCACTGAAATCTGTTGGTTGAAAACGAGTCAGGCAAGATTATTTGGTGTGAGTGGGTGAGGAGGGAGAGGCAGAGCTCTGATGGCAGCAGCAGGGCCTGACCTCAGCGGGATCACAGGGGCAGGAGGGTCTGCGTGAGCTGCTCCGCCGTGTGATTCCTCCTGTAAGCGAGCAAGGTCCATCTTTACATTGACCGCCCTTGCTCCTCCCATCGCGAGGCTGTTTCTGTTCCTTGCTCCTCTGAAGGTTAGAAACAGATGTCTAGTTTCCAGCCTACACATCCAGCATAGATCAGTTGTGCTCTTCTTTCTTGTCTGCTAGCTCTTTTATTGCTGCAATGTGCTGCCTCCTTCCCCAGTGTATTTTTTAAAGAGTGCTCATATCCCCTCCCAGCCTTTGTTTCCCTAGGCTGAGCAAGTTGAGTTTGTAGAGACTTCTTTCATAAAATAGGATTTCCATTCCTCTGACCATCCTAGAAACTCCTGGCCCAGCTTGAATGCACTTTTTTTCTTCAACTGGAGAATTGTCTGGGGAATGGTAATTCCAACAAGATCTTGCCTGCGCGCTGTACAAAGTCATTATATGTTTCCCTGTCTCTATTTGTTGGTACTTCTCCTGATACCCTCTGCTTGACATTGGCCTTTTCAGGAGCTAAGTCATGCCAGCAGCACACAAACACACGAGACAGGTCTTCTCCCTCCTGTGTGCCACACCAATGAGCTTCTGCTTGTTCCAAGCACCCAGCTGCCTAAGTCGGTAACATCGTATTTCATCCCATTTCCATTTTGCTTTCTCTCAAAGTTATTCTCTTCTTCCAATGTGACGTTCTGCTTCTCATCTTCAGGTTATTAGTGCAATCCCTCCTTTTCCTGATGGGGTCACTCAGGAAAATACCAAGTATTATTCATCCCAAGGCAGTTGTTTGTTTTTTTTTTGAGGAGCTCTACCAACCATCTTCCCCCAGCCCTGTGGTTCTCCTTGCTTCATCCCTCGCCTACTTTGCCATGCCTGTGCTCCCAGCTCAGCTAAAAATATCCCATCTGAATGTGCATCCGAGCCTCTGCTGAAGTCTGGAAAACGGCACACTGGGTGGTAGCTCTTCCTTATCATTTGTTTCTCTCCCACAATTATCAGTGAAGTCTCTTAGCGCCCCTGTATTAATCTGAGACACTTGTTAATTCAGTACATTTTGCCGGAGCATGCATAAATCTCTGTGGTGCACCAGGGCCATCCATCAGCCAGTTCTCTGTTTACACAGAACTAGCACAGTGCTTTTCCCCAAAAGCTTGCAAACGCAGCCTGGGCCACATTTTCAAGATGCTGTCAAGTGCTCAGTGAGACTTCCAGGAGTAGTTTCCTCCTGCCTTCTTGCTGGCATTGGCACCTGAAGCCGATGGCAGTTAACGCTGTGCTTCGAAAGCAAGAGAGGGTGCAGTCAGTTGGCCACGAGTGTCTCTGGCCAACACGTGCTTTCTGGTTTGGTATTCTGTTTTGTAGTGAAGACTTCCAGGCTTCTGAGCACAGGTTCCTGCTTCCCTTGCCAAGGATGCTCTTGTGGTACAGCAAACATTACGCTACTTTCTGTGAAGCCCACTGGCTTTCACGCAGCCACTTTTTCTTCCACCCCTCGATGTCTTCTCATCCAGGAAACCTGGGGAAGCCAAATGCATTTAATCCCCTTCAGCACGACACAGTGACATGAATGCTGGCTGTTGAGGTGCTGTAGCTGGTTCACCATGTCTACTCTCAGTTGCCAATTTCCCTTTCTACCCACTTCTACTAAAAGATGCTAATCATGTGGTGCTACGCAACTTCCCTGCCCCAGAGAGCAGCAGCAGCACTTCTGATCCTTTCAGCTCTGGCTAAACTAAAAGAGACACCCATGTTCTGAGCCTAATTCCAACTCCTGTGTAACAAATTCCTTATCAAACCCACAGAAAAGTCCTTTGCCAATGGTTAGACTTCAGGCCGTTCAGGACAGCAGTCACTTCTGAGAAGTTATGCACATCTGATGCAAAATTACAAAAACGCTTACTTACCGCAGTGACCAACGGGGCTGAGAAGCTCAAGATAATGTTTATGTTTGGCGTTGAACCCTATGCACAAATACTGACTTTGGCTGCACATGTAGCATCCCTGTTTATTTTTAAATCTGTGTATACTGACGGTCCAGGTGCAGGGAATTATCCTTGCGCTCTTAGCACCCCAGGTTTCAGAGTTCTCACCGTGCTGAAGAGGCTATTAGCAGGGTGCTTAGCTCAGGGATGTGCCTCCGAGCATCCCTGGCCAGCTGCTCCCGGGAGGGTACCGACCATCGGTTTGGACTGTCGCCTGTTTTGGGGCTGAAGCAAAGAAGCAGGAGCGGCGCTGCTGGGGTGAGGGATGGTTTGGGGGAGGAGTATGGGGATGCTGAGCCGGTGCAGAGGAGTAACCATGCTCCGTCTGTCTCGTCCCCACGCCTCCATACCTGACATGAAGGATGTACTGACTCACAGCCAAAGCTTTTCTGGGCAAAGCCATTTGCATGTGAGCTCCCAGCATAGGCTGTGGCAGCCAGACTGGCCTGAGAGGTTCATGCCCTGCTCTCCCAGCTGCGAGTGTGCCTGCCCTGGTGCTGCGTCTCTGGTCGTGCCCTGGAAGCATCTGCAACCAGCGTCTCCCTACAAGGTTTTTGTCATTAAAAATGCATGTGGTAGGGGAAAGGGCGAGGTGGAAAGAAGCGGGTTAATGGGATCCTCCTGCAGCTGAGAGTGCTCTCAAGCAAGCAGTTACACCCAGCTGGCACTGCTGAGAAAGTGGCATCCTCGGGAGGCAAGGGTGGGAACATCTTCTGCTGGATTTGCCACCAACTGAACAGTGCCGTGGGGTCCAAAACATTTAGCTGGAATCAGTTCGGTTTGAAAACTGGTGCCATAGCTTCACGTGTGAGCCTAGAAATGTAGTCCTTTCACTTTTCAAATCAAGAGTGCTGGAGTTAATGAGAAGCGCTAAATGACTTGCCCAAGGCTGCCTTGCGAGCACGTGAGAGCCCAAACTCCATTAAAAATCCCCAAAAGCTCAGTGGGGTGCACTGCCCACGCCACCTTGGTGAATTTTGAGGCTGGCAGGATAACTCGCTGTGCTAACACTATGGTGTGAAAGAAATATCCCACCAAGGCAGCTGTAATTAAATTTGACTGTGTTTTCAGCCCCGATTTCTGCTAATGGTTCCTGTCCTGGTGCATTGGTGTCTGGAGGGGTGAACAGGGAAGCACTGCTCGCAGGATGCAGCATCCCAAAATCTCCGGCTGGATCAACACATGAGCCCACCGGCAGCCATGGCACTCCTCCAAGAACTGTCCATGAAGGTAGAGACACCCAACCAAGGCTTGAAGAGCGTTTAACAAACTGGGAATGATCACCTCCCGTTGCATGTACGTGACCGAATGAAGTCACGCTATACTTGGGTTGCCAAGTTTTTAACATGTGACTTTGAAAGCGTTATTTGCTGAGGAAGGAAGGTTTCCAGGGGAATTGATAATAAAGGATGTAGTAGGTTTTTGGAAAGAAAACAACTTTTGCTATGCAAAGAAAACAGCAACCCTGAAACTTTTTTGAGGAGATGAGTTGCTTTCTAAAAATGGGCCCTAGCTCCTTGGTGTTTCCACAATAACTTACTCTGTGCCTGTGGTGCCTGTCGCTCTGCCCAACGCGGCAACGGGGAGCTAAGGGAAGCAGCTGTGGCAGAAAACAGGAGTCAGACCGTGCCTAGATCTCTTCCCGAGTCAAAATTTCAGCCCTTTCTGTGCTTCTTCTCAGGTTCTTCGCTGACCTTGTCCTCAAACACGGCATTCTCGTTGTCCTCATAAACATCATTGCCGTGAAGTTCTGGTAGCGATTGCACACCAGGACGCTGCGCGTACCAGACCCCGTGAGCACTGCTGAGTTACTGTTCCCACACAAATTCCCGAAGCAAACGTTACTGCTGTAATCTAAAAGAGCAAAAATGTTTGGAAAACAGCAGATGCAATGGGAAAATGACACTTCCTACATGTGATAATTGCGCAACCTTAACTCTGCCCTTGGAGTATGTCTGCTTCTCGCTGTATTGTTCGGGAACTTGCATGGTGTAGAAAAAAAGTTATCGGAAGTCTTCGTCCGTACAAATCACAGTTAAATCGGTTGGCAGAGGTGACGGCAAGGGTTAAGTTACCTGTGTGGAGCTGGGGGGGCTGGGTAGGGTAAGTGGATTACATGCAGCTATTAAGTACAGAGAGGTGACTCCGTCAGCATGATTTGACTGTTAAAATGGGCACTGGTGGCGGGGAAAAAACCTCTGTGGCTTGCGAGTGAGTCCGGATCGCTAAAGCTTTAAAGCGCAGGACACGGTTATGCTTTCCTCCTGTCATGGTAGGAGCGTGTCCTGCCTTAAGCCACTTACATTGGTTTGCTTTTTAAGTAGCAATTTTATTTTTTTTTCATGCATTCAGCCATAGGTTAACTTTGTTCAGACTGTCCTCACCCTCGCCCTGCAGCCCCGCTCCCCGGGGGACAGCCCAATGCAGCCCGTGGACATCTCTCCTGTCTGCGCTGTTTCTTGCCTGGGGATGAAGTTTGCTCTTTGCTGTCGGGAGCTCTTAGCTTGGCTTCGTCGCCACTGAGAAACTGGGAAAGCACGGTGAAAAAACGTCCGCCCTGCAAGGCTTGCGCTCCCGCAGCTAGGAGTGGTGGAACCAACTTTTGTCTTTATTTATCGCTCATCACCCCCTCCTTCCTCAGCTGTCCTTTGCTCCCATCTCCTCCTGCAGCCGCTGCGGAGGAACCG